TATACTGCTGCTCCCCTTACCTGGAACATCCCCTCCCCTCCTTTTTTTTTTTTTTTTTGTGTGTGTGTGGGTGCTATGGTGCTCAAAGGAAGTTTGGTAATAGATAAAGCTAGAGAGAGACTGGCAGGGGCTAGGGTGTGAGGAACTTGTGCAGAACATTAAGGAGTTTGGATGTTATTTAGAGGTCAGTGGGGGGGGGATAACAGTGTGTGTAAATGTTGATGGAATGATCCAGTAGGGAAGGAGAGCAAAACCAGTCATTCATTTGTTCACGAGTGGGTAAGAATGCATGGATTCTGATAAAATATTCAAAGTATGAGTAGACAACTCTTCAGAGATGCTTGTGTGTAAAAGAGATCAAATACAGATCAATGAGAGAAGCCTGGAGGGGAATGTATGTCAAGGAAATGCTTCTAAGATGACAAATACTTGAGAATATCTCAATGCTTTTGGAAGGAGAGCAAACATACTCATTCATTTACTGCATCACTGTTTCAAAAGGTGAGAAAGATCACTATAGTAGCAGTGAGATGAACTGGAGTAAAGGGGTCCAAGAATGGAAGCAGGGAACACTAGAGGATAACAGTAACAGCGCAGGTGAAGATGATGGAGTAAATTAAGGCTGTGGAAGTAGAGATGAGACAGAACTCAAAGAATTTACAGTACTAAATCTTTGGTTTCCTTTAATACAACAACTACCTTCTTGCCCTGCTAAATTCTCTCCCAAGCCCCTTTAATTTTCACCTCTGATCTATCTCCCTTAGCTCTTCCCACTTGAACTCTTGACCCTCCTATAGTCCCTCACATGCACATCAAGCCCCTCTAAGCTCCAGATCCTTCCCTGTGGAAGCTAAGGGGTGGTTTTAGGAACCCTGGACTCAGTCAGACAAACCCCAAACAGCTGTGTGACCTTTGGCACGTCTCTTTCTCTCACTGGTCCTCAGTCTCCTTATCTTATTGAGAGGATTCAATGGGTGATCCGACTGTGACACTATTAGCCTTTGATGCCTTCCTCGCATCCCCAATTGCCTTTCCTTGCAGTCAAGGGCCCAAGCTACCACCAGCCCGATAGCTCCAGCTTTGGGCCAGGCCTCAGCTGTCTCAATATGTAACCTTGAGCAAGTCAAGTCGCTTCTCTAGAAGTCGTTTTCCCATTTCTATAATGAGGACAGGTCTTTCTGAGCTGCCTGCCTCACGACTGTCCTAAGAGTCCACTTTAGCGTTTGAAGAATCAGAGCACAGACAAACGTGGAACACGCCAGGGCTTTGCAGAGACTCCCAGCTCTGACACCAACCAACTGTGTGATCTTGGCCAAGTGACCTACCCTCGCGGAGCCTGGCTACATTATCTGAAGAGCCGAGACGGTACTAGTGCCCACCTCACAAGGCTGTCCTAAGGATCAGCAGCCCGGGCCGCCCCTCCTCCCGCCTCCTTGCCCGCCGCCAGACAGCGGGGGCCCGCACCTGCGCAGCTGCTGGATCTTGTCGCGGTAGCGGTCGTAGAAGGGGTTGGCCTGGAGCTCGGCCTCGGCCCCTACTCCGCTGCCGTCTGCGCCCCCCTCGGGCGGGCCGGAGCTGCGGCGCACTGAAAACACGCGCAGCTGCGCGGGTGACACGAGCCCCAGGCCCAGGGCGCGGCTGCGCACCGCGCACAAGCCCCGGTAGAGGCCAGCCACCTGCAGGACTGCAGGTCCCGCGCCACCCGCAGCCGCCACCACCACAGCAGCCATGGCAGCCCCCGCCTCCTCCTCCTCAGGCGCGTCAGCCTCTCCCCGCGGCCCGCGCGTCCGCTCCATCCCTCTCCGAGTGCGCCGCTCCCGCCCTCGGGCACCGAGGTTCCGCGCGCCCAAGGTTCCGGGCGCGGCGCAGAGGAGGGGGCGCGCCGCTCTGGCCCCGGCACCGCGCGCTCTCGCCGTCCCGTGTCTGCCACGGCCCGCCTCCTCCTGGGAGGCTGCCCAAATTTACGCCCTTCCTCCCTCTGGGACCAGCAGCCTCTGCGCGCCAAGTCCGCTCTCTAAAGCCAGCAGATCTCCAGGTCCTCGCGGTGCTTGCTCCGTTTTAAATGTACCTGGCATTCGCTGTAGTAGTCCGTCCTTAAGCATCGAAGGTCTTTTCATCAACTGTCATCACAGCAGCAAGCTTCTCTTTACTGAGGTTGCTATGTGCAGGACACTGAATGGCTTCATACTCTGTATGGCAGGTATTATCCTCATCTAACAGATGAGGAAACTGAGGCCGGGAGTCATTATGTGACTTGTTCAAGTTCTACCCGAGAGCTGAGCTCTTTTCAAGATGGCAGCTGCCTCCCAAGCCTCCTTTCCTTCTGCTTCCTGACATCCACCTTGAACTCCAGCCAAACTGATCTATTCTCTCTCAAAGAAACACCAGGATTACTCCTTGAAGAGTCCTTATTCAGGCCCTTTTTGACCCCCAGAATGCTCTCTCCTTCCATTCTCTCAACCCAAATGCCACAATCTTCCTTACCCTCTGAACGAGGTGTGAGCTTCTTGGGTTAGAGACAGTGACATCAACATTTCTGTGTCCCACCTGCTCACGGAACAGGGCCAGTCCTGGAGTGGGCTTTGGGACAGTACTCATCATTAGGTCCTTCTTGTCTGATTGAAACCCCTCCTGGGGCAGAGGCAGAGCCTTCAGCTCTGCTCAATCCAACGTATGCTCATAGAGATCAGCCCTGGGCCCTGCCCTGTGTGAAGAAGAGTGTAATGGAAGATTAACAAGTCCTTCAAGTATGCCAGCCCATCCCTGGCTCACGCGCCTCACACTTGCTGTTTTCTCTGTGGATCTGCACGTGACTGCCTCCTCATGATCTAAGGGCTCAGTTCACATGTCAGCACCTCAAAGGGACCTAAATGACGGACCCCCCCCACTGCCTCTTTAGAGTCTATCCCATTGCTCTATTTCATTCTCTGATCATAATCTGAAGTTCTTAGATCCTTGTTTATATTAATTCATTGAGCTTACATTCTAATGGAGAGAAACAGACAACAAATAAATATATAACATTAGGTGATGCTACATGCTATGCAGAAAAACAGCAGGGTAAGAGAGATAGAGATAAGGGGACATTTGAGCAGAGATCTGAAGATAATGAGGGAATGCTGGGGGGAAGAGCCTTCCAGGTAGGGGGAACAGCAAGTGCAAAGGCCCTGAGGAGGAGGTTATTGAGTCTGAATGAGTGAGGGCACAGCAGTAGAAATGAGACCAAGAAGGTATAGGGAGGGTGAGTTAGATTGCTCAGGCCTTGGTTAAGGACTATGATTTTGAAGCTAAGTGAGATCGGAAGTCACTGTATGTTTTAAGCAGAGGAGTAACATGATCTACTTTTTAAAAGGATCATGTTGGCTACTGGTGGAATTTAGGGTATGTGGAGGCAAGGATGGAAGCTCTCCCAAAGGTGACTAATTTGTCCTAGCTTGCCTAGGACTTTCTTGGTTCTAGCATTGGAAGCCCCATGTCCTAAGAACCCCCTCAGTCCTGCGCAAACCAGGATATTAGTCACCCTACAGGAAGAACAGTAATCCAAGTGAAAAATGGTGGTACTTGGACTAAAGTGATAGTGATAAAAAAAAAAAAAGTGGCCAGATTTTGGTTTTATTTTGAAATAAAAGCCTAAAGATTTTGCTGATGGAGTCAGTGTGGGTGTGATAGAATGAAAGGAGTCAAGGATGACTTGCAAGTTTTTGGCTTGAACAACTCAAAGGACAGAAATGTTCCCTATGAAGAGGAGGAAGGCTGTAGGTAGAGTAGACTTTGGAGGATGGATGATCAGAGTCTGGTTTTGGACATGCCAGTTGGGGATAATTTAGCAGACTGGCAAGGAGGGATGTCAACCAGGTATTTGGGTATGAATCTAAAGTTCTGAGGAACATTCCAGGCTAGAGAGATACAGTTGCACACTGTCAGTGTCTAGTGATATTTAAAGCCAGGAGTCTGGATGGGACAATCGAGGGAATGAACGTAGATAGAGCACTAAGAACTGAGCCCTACGACATGCCTACATTTAGAGATCAGGGGAAAAGGGAGAAACCGACAAAGGAGTCTGAAAGGTAGGGGCTGGTGATATAGGAGGAGAGCAAGGGTAAGCGGACCCTGAAGAGAATTCTGTGCTAAATAGTTCCCTAAGTCACACACTGGAGGACGATAAAGAAGGGAGTCATTAAAATGGTGCCAAGAAGCTGAGCTAGGAGCAGTGGTGCAACCTACTGGAAAGGCTGACTTAAGGTTAATTAAGAAAGAGTTTTCTAACTGAGCTGTCCATAAATGTACCAAGCTATCTCAGGAGACCCTCACTTGAGTCAGGAACTTGCTCAGTCCAGGGGGATTAGTTGCTGTGTAGGGAAAGTTCTACCCCCAGGACTCTAGCATGGTCCTGATGGTGTGACCAGATGGTGGGAGTTGAACTAGACAACTCTCAATTTCCTTCAAACTGGAGATGATGTGATTCTGGGCAGTTTGTCACAGAGTAGGGGGGTTGAGCTGAGTCTTGAAAAATGAACAGGTGTTCAGTGGTGGAAAAGTGGGCAGGGGCATTCCTGGGTGAAGGAGCAGCATGAGCATATCTCCAGATGTGAATGAGCAGGGTCTGTTCAGGACACTGTACTGGGCGGAAGGGAAAGGTGTGTGGAGGATGGGGAGGGGAGTAAGGCTGGAAGGAGATGCAGGCCAGATGGTGGGGAGCCCCACAGGGTCTGGTCCTTGGGACACACTTGTTAGCACTTGAAGGAAGGTAACTAAATAAAAGAGAGATTGTTGGAGCTCAGGAAGGAGGTATTGACCACTTGGTTCCCTTGTGCAGGTTTTCTCCTGCCAACTTGGTTAGAGACTTTTTGAGGGCAGGGCTGCCCAATGCTGTGTGTTCCCTGTTAAATTCCTCACTGGGGACAGGTATCCCATCAACTGTTCCCTAAAGACCAGTAACATCAGTAAGTCCCTGAGGGATAATGACCCTTTCCTGGGGTCTGCTCTGTGGGTTCACCATAAGGGGTAGGGTCAGACAATTCAGTCTCTGATAGAAGTAACAGACACTCCACCCCAAAAAATTCCACTGGATGAAGTCCCCTCCTTCCATTAACTCAGGACCACTTCACAAGCACTGCCCCTAGAATGCCCAATGTTCAGAACCCAGTGACCTTTCCTTTAGAGGATAAAGGGCCTGGGAATTCTGGAGACTCTGATTGGCTGGGCAGATGGGTGGGTGAGCTCCCTCTCCCCAGAGCCACCAGCAGGCACCAAAGCTCAACTGTATGGATTTCCAACAGGAGGACCTGCGCTTCCCTGGCAGTAAGTGCTCCTCCAGTCCCTGTCACTGCACTTGTGCCCTAGGGCTTGGGTACAAACACTTAGGGAAGGCCCTTTGCATGGATGGAATGGTGCCTGGATTTATAGAGGAGAGCTAAGCAGTTAGGAGATAGTCTACTCTAGATCTGATGAACCAGATCTAGAGCGACGGTATTATCAATAGCCCAGGACCATCACAACTGAACGGAATGGAATGGGACATTGGTATCTCTGTCAGCTGGTGAACTTTTACTCTTTTTTTAAACATAGTTTCACTCTGTTGCCCAGGCTGTGGTACAGTAGTGTGATCTAAGCTCATTTCAACCGGATTCAAGTGATTCTCCTGCCTCAGTCTCCCAGGTAGCTGGGACTACAGGCATGTACCACCACACCTGGCTAATTTTTATATTTTAGTAAAGACAGGATTTCACCATGTTGGCCAGGCTGGTCTTGAACTCCTGATCTCAGGTGATCTGCCCACCTGGGCCTTCCAAAGTGCTGGTGAACTTTTACTTCTTGATGGACTTGCCCATAGTGAAACTTCTCAGTCTGATGGATTGGATGGGTGCTGCGTTAGGAACCAGAGGCTTGACTGAGCCTGGTCAGCTCATGCCCCCTCTAAGACCTAGCTTTTCTGATCTGTAAAGAGTTAAAGGTGGTGCTTAAGCTCCCTGGAAATCTAGCTTTGACTGAATAAGAGAATGATGAGGCAAGTCAATGAGGGAGAGAAGGAATGGTTAGCGTAGTCAAGTGGATGAAGTGACTGATGAATGGGTTAAGTGAAAGAGGAAGGAGAAACAGCTCAGACCCCAAGCTACAGCTATCAGCCAGCCTGACTCCTTTTCTTTCTTGCTGTCTTAGTGTGGGTCTCATTGTACTTTGGATTCCTGGGGCTGTGTTCGGTGATAACTGGAGGCTGCATTGTTTTTCTGCACTGGAGGAAGAACTTGAGGCGGAAAGAGCATGCCCAGCAGTGGGTGAAGGTGATGAGAGCTGCCACATTCACCTATAGCCCATTGTTGTACTGGATTAACAAGCGACGGCGCTATGGCATGAATGCAGCCATCAACACGGGCCCCCCCCGTGCTGTCACCAAGACTGATACTGAGGTCCAGAATCCAGATGCTCTGTGGGAATTGGACATCCCTGAAGGCAGGAGCTATGCTGACCATGACAGCAACTCCAAGGTGGAAGCCCCCACTCCCTTGCAACCTGCGCTGCAGCTGGCTCCACAGCAGCCCCAGGCCAGCTCCCCATTCCCACTTCCCATCTTTCAGGAGGTGCCCTTTGCCCCACCCCTGTGCAACCTACCCCCCATGGTGAACTACTCTGTCTCCTATCCTTCGGCCACCTGTTCTGAAAGGAATGTTCGCTTCCATTCCCTCCCTAATCTGGCTCATGAAGACCTCAGCTTCAATGCCAGGCCTTTTGCTTCAGAATTGTAGCCTCCTTTCACTGAAGGTGAGAGCTGCAGATATCAAATGCAGAGTAGGAAATGGAACTAAGCTCAGGGAGGCAGTATTGACAGAGGTCAGGACCCATCTGAATGTCATGCTATGAAAGATTAAAAAAACAAAAACAAAAACTCCAAGGCTCCCTCTGGTTTCATCTGCTGTTAGGACAATGTCCTTCCTGTGTGATGGGGTCACTTTGCAAACCAAGTTGATGGCTGAGTCTCACCAATATGAATTGGCATTGGAGGTTGGCTGTCGGGAGACATACTCAATAAGTACTTGTGAATGGACTCAATATCTCTCTGTTCAGTATTTAAAACAAAGTGCCTTGGCCTAGGTACCCCAAGGCCCTGCTGTTCTGTGGGATGTGAAGCACAGCTGCCACAAGAGTGATAACTTCTGATGGCACATGAGTATGGTGATTTATAGTGGCTATGTCACAGGCAAAACAAGTCACCATGAGCCCCGCGAGCCACACTGCACTATGGGCTGAATTGTGTTCTTTATTACCTATGATGTATGGAGCTCTCACGTGGTTGCCTCTGTACATTATTTCTAATAATTCACAAGAACACTGCTAAATGGATATCACGATCCTCCTCTTACAGATGAAGAGACAGGTTCCAAGGTATATGCCATGCCTTTCTTAGTTGCAGAGACAGTTCCCAAATCTACATCTGCCTCACATCAAATCTACTGGTATCATCAGTTGCCTGGCACCAAAGGTACTGATCTTTCCACCATACACCATAGTGCCTCTGCCCTAATGATATGTTGTGTTAGAAAACACTTGGTGAATGCTTTGGATTGTATGTAGGGTGTCATTAAGTTGGTCCACGAATTGGCTTGGAGGACGGGCTGGTCAGTGAACTGCCTAAAATTATACATAGACACATATCCGTAGTTTTTACCTTTCCTTCAAGAATCCATGTCTCCCTCCCAAAAGTTAAGATCCACCACGTGGGAATACTAATTGTTGTACTTCTGGAAACGGTTGTATAGCCATTTACATAATGACTGAGGGGGAAGGTCACCAGATTCTGTGTTAGGGGAAGGGGAGGAGATATCCAGAATCTAGCAAACATGTATATACAGTTATCTTTTTTCTGTGTGTGAAAAAGCTTTAGCTCCTATATGACTCCTTTCTAGCAAAGGAGTTTAAGCTTTTTTTTTTTTTTAAGGTAGTAGAACATTTATGGCAAACATGCTTTAAATAGAATCTCAAAATATAAAACAGACCTAAGTGGAACATCTTGGGTAAACAGAGGGGCAGGGCTCATTCCTGCCTCACCTCGCCCCTCCCATCCTCTGGATGCATAAGGCCTGAACCTTGAGGCTTTCCTTCTTCAGGCCAAATACTGCAGTCCTTAAGGCAGATTCTTAATTACTTTGGGCCCAATATGTGTTACTCCTTGCTTTCAAAAGGAGTAAGGCATCCATAAAAATAGAAAGCAAAGCAGATTTTTTTCCCCCTTAGAAATCATAGGGGAATGAAAGAGGCTTTAGTCAGACACATTGAGAGAAAAAGAAATTTTTTTATTTAGCTAAATTAAAATGGCTGTGTTACTTATATGAAATATGCAAAGCTCAAATCAAGTCATGAAAATCCTGAATTCTCCCTAAACAGAACCAAAACTGCTTATACATTACCAAAATAGCTCCACTAAAAGAAAGATTTAAATTTCTTAATATGAGAAAACAACAAGGTAGGTTAGGTTCGTATAACAAACAATACAGGCTCTATAAAGTCTCAGGAATACCCAAATGTGTTCTGGTTTGGATATGAAAGAGGGACCACATCTAGCTGGTGTTGGTAAGCAAGCCAATGAGGTGTGCAACAAACAAAACCTGTCACTAAAAACAACTCAACAGGCCATTATGAGTGTGGGCCCATCACAGCCAAAATCCTCAACTGTGACCGGCAGGACCAGCAAGGCGGGGGGTGCTGAAGGGGTTATGAACAGGAACCGTAAAAAAGGAATCTTTAACGGAAGGGACAATGGCCAGCAGTAGGTGAAGGGAATCCACTCTTCAGCTCTGTTGCATCAGATACATTCCTGAGGGCCAGGTACCTCTCCGCCTTTTAGATGACACCACAGACATCTTGAAGTCAGGTATTCTCTTCTTCTCGTTTTTCTTTTTCTATGCTACCTTTTTGCCTCTCTGATTTATAGGGAGGCTTTTTTAGTAAACATTATACAAGATGGTGCAAGGCAAAACAACAAAAACAAAAAACAAAACAAGGACCAAGAAGCAGTGCTTTCATAACTTAGGAAAGCAGCAGTAGGAGCTGCCAGACTGAAAAGGTAAAAGGATTTAAAACCAAAACCAAAACCAAACTCACTACCGCTGTCCAATCTTCCTCTCAGAGATGAGATATGGCTGGTGAGGCTTGACTACAGCTGAATACGAGTCACAGGCTCGGTAAGTTAAGACAGCATACAAATAAAAGTCCCAAATTCACACTAAATAATAGGCTTATGGGACTCTTAACCCCATGAGTCTGCTCAACTCAGAAGAGAGGAGTTCAAGATACCTTCCTCTTGCCTGGAAGATATGGTACTTTCTCAGGCAGGATGACAAGGATATTCATAGATCTGAGAGTGCAGCATAAACACCTCTGCCAAACTTGGTAGGGGGAGAGGATGACACGACACACCAGCTCAGGGATGATACTAGTCAGACAAATGCAAGGTAGGAAGAACAGAAGATAAACTAAAAAACAAACTGGACGACTCCACGTATAGCTATCTGATGCAAGGGAAAAGTACACACAACAAAGAGTTAAGATGTCTTCAAAGTATCTGCCAATGAATAAGAATTTGAAACTAAAAAGGACAAGCTACATTACCCTCAAGTATATTTCATATAAATCAGTTCTCAAAAAAATACCTTCCAGGTACAGACATACTATCTATGGTACAGTATATACAAATATAGCAGTATAATTCAATTTATTGCTAGAATTTTATTTGGTTGTTACAAAACCTGTAAGGGTGTATATATATTAAAAAAGGGTGTGGGGTGAGAGTGGATGGAAGGCAGCCAGAAGAGTGAGAATTATTTTCAAGTTACCTAAAGTGCCACGCTAATTTATGTTTTAACCTTTCCAGGAAAGTGAGATGGAGCCTAAGCTATAATGAGATAAGTGGACACATTCATGGGAAAAGATTTTTATCTTGCTTTAACTAAGTTTTAATACTTCTAGAAAAAAAAATTTCAGGTTAGTCAACACCAAGCTGAACATCATGTAAAGAAAAAAAACAGCCCTTAAATGTTTAAGGGCACTGGACTATATCCATAGCCGAAGGGCAACCTGAACAAAGTTAAAAGGAAATGATCTCCACTAAAGAAATCTGTGCCATGAAAGCTTCTCCACTTTCTCCCTGACTTGGCCTATAGCAAAGTTAAGTTTTGTAGTTTTTTTCCTTTCAAATTGTTGACCAAAGACTGCTTCTAAGAACAACACAGCAATTCTAGACTCAACCTACAGCTGACATAGAGGTATTACTCCTTTCAGTCTAGGGACTTTTCACGCCAGGTCCACAGAAGCATTTAAAGGAAGTATTAGGCTTGCTCGTATTAGATTTGAAAAACTTGCTACCACCATGTGAAGGCCCAGCTCTCTTTGGATAGAAAGCCTCTAGCTACTTTTGAGCTGATAATTGTAAGGAAACTGAATATTATTTCACATGTTTCGTCTCACAACCTTTTTAGCCTTAGTCATCCCCCAGAGAAACATATCAGGCCCTTGGTTAGCCTCTAGGTAAAATCTCAAGGGGTATAATTTTCTGGGTCAAAATTAGATGCACGGCTCTCTTCTAAAGCTCTGGGTGGTCAGCGTGAGGCAGCGGCTAGGGGAATTTAGCCCTGCCATTCAAAATGGAGATGGTACTGGTGGTAAAGCTGCCTTAAAGCCAGCTATGGCTTTAAGATAGACTCAAGTGGGTGGGTGGGGGAAGGCAATCTAGCTCACTTAGCAGGGAAAATGGAGCTTCCCAATGGATAACTTTTTATGCTCATAAACCCTGAAATAGTATTAAAAATGAGAAAAAACCCCAGCAAGACTTCTCTGATTCCCAAATTGGGATTAGCTGAGGGAATAGGAACAAAGAACCAGAATCCTACTTCCATGAGCCATGCCTGGAGTCAGCACTACGTCTAGTGTCTACTCCCTGAAATTGGTTCCCCCAGCTACCAGGCCAAACCCCCTGGCAGCACCTAGGCCTTTGAGGGATGCCTTATGGACACATGGATGCAGTTTCAGCTGCCACCCACACCAGATCAGCAATTTTAAATAAGTCATTTGTTCACATCCTGTTCTAAACCATTCTTCCTACTTTTCATACAATATGCACAATGCTTTCTTTCATTTAAATATTTACAAACAGAAAAGGCCTATCTTTTAAAGAAAAGACATTTTCTGAGTCTCTATAAAGTGCAGCTAATTTAAGGCAAATTTAAGTGAAATATAAAAGGTGGCTTATTCTCTCTCTATATACATTTCCCAGCTTTAAAAGATAGTCTCCTCCCCTCAAAAAAAGGAAAGAGAAAAAAAGAGAGCTTTAATTTTTTTTTTTCTGGCAATTTTAAAATGTAAGATATTACTGGTTTTAGGAAATCATAGATTTCTGAACATCATATTATAAGTAAAATGGTCTTTTTTAAAAAAATAACTTTTATATATTTTCTTCAAACATGTTAAAAGGTGGCAAAGTATCTGCTACAGTAGTTTGGAGGACTAGAGGACTGATGGGTAACAGCTGTTTTGTTGTTAGGTCAGTGGATATTAAGCATTCTATTCCTAAAATATGCCTGATGAGGCTAGATACCTAAAGCTACCCTTAGTTCCAGGAATGAGTATCTTCCATCTCCATCGGAATCAAATGCTCTCAAGCTCTCTGGTTCTGGCACAGCAGAAGAACCTAGGGAGGTCCAGATTTCCTGGTAGGTCAGCTTCCCATCCACGTCCTGGCCAGTCTTGTGGAATAAATCCTGAAGATCTGTCAAAAATGAATGATAAAAAAATGTATATGCCTAAACATACAGCTAAATTTAATTAAAAGTAGTCTCAACTGAATTTAAAACACTAAAAGAAAAGCTACTCTGCAAATTTTGT